GAATGCTATGTGTTACGCCTCGTCTAACAATAAGGATATGGATTCGTGGAGGGACATGAATTAGGAGGTGCATTCGATGTATTCGAATCAAGTTTTGGTAATCGTAGATATACCTAAAAGGGTTAAACCTATTAGGGTGCAACTGTGTCTATAAGAAAAAAAGAGAGGAGTGGATGGGAATGTTGAGACCTATAAATTTAGGCTAATGTTTAAAGGCTACGTCTGAAAAGAAGATATCAATTATGAAGAAACCTTCTCATCTTTACTATGCATGTCTATAAGAAGGATCGTGCTACACGACCACATCGGTTGACACGTCTCTCACATATGGGAGCTCGGCATTATTTTATTCGCGCGGGACATACACCTCGACTGTGAGTGCTGTGTCAACCTTGTGTCAAACAATGTGGTCGTTTGGCATTTTCCCTATAAGAATCTTCATGTTCATCGCAACTTATATGGATTATGAGATTTTACATATACATATTAAAATTACATTTATTTAATGGTCATTATGATGAATGCATCTATATGATGTATGTAGCCAGTGGATAACAAAAATACACGTCAAATTCAATACACACGGGCCCTGCCCCAAATAGGGTGGAAAATTCCATCGTGATGCGAGTTCGGGTAAACGGGCCTCGACCCGCCCAACAATTTTTATTATTTTTTTTTTTATATAAGAATTCAATACTTTAAATGAAAAAACCCCACGGAATTGCATTAATTTTAATAGAAGATAAAAACTAAGATTATTTGAAAAATATGATAAATAATAAAAACTTTAGTTTACGGAAATATTCGAATAATATAACTTTTAAAAATAAATAAATTAATAAAAAAATTAATAATTATATTATTGTCTCTTTTGATTTTTGAATGAACGGAGACAATAAAATGAATTATCAAATACTTAAAAAAAGAAAAAGAAAATACAACGGGTACGTAAATGGGGCAACCGCCTCGCTCTTCCCTGCCCCGCCCTAAACGGTCAAGTGGATAACGAGGTGGAAAAATGCCAGCATAACCTGCCTCGTTACCAACCTTCATTTAGTACCATTTTAGTTAGTTTTCCTAATTTCTACTAAAAAGACAATTATTTTATTTGAAAAAAAATAAAAATAAGAATGAAAAGAAAAAAGAAACCATAATCCAACCTAACCATAACCAATGTGGATTTAATTGTTATTAAAATAAAATTCCCCCCGCCCGTCCCGCATCCAAATCCGTCCCATTGCCAACCCTAGTTTGAGATCATGTTAGCTGATTTTCCTAATTTCTACTAAAAAGACAATTATTTTATTTGAAAATAAAAAAAATGTCAAAATAAGAATGAAAAGAAAAAAGAAACCATAATCCAACCTAACCAATGTTACTAAAATAAAATTGGAGACTAAAGTGCAGCTCGTGTCAAAGTTTGGAGACTATTTATGTTATTAACCCTCAGAATCCGTAGGTTACGCACGAGACAGGGGACTGTCGGTGCATTGCACGCTAATGACAAAATTCTTTATAACAATATTTTAATTGAGCATGCATAAATCTATACTACACCGAGTGCGCATTACACGCCAAATCAGAGGTCTCCATGTCACATCTTAAGTAATGCCATGTTTGGTAAAACAGAACATTATATGCTTTTAATGATATAATAATTGAGTCATTGTTTCGACTTATTTTTTCCATACAAAGCTTTTGTGTAAGGTTCGGACATGTTGATTAACGGCTTGTTTGGTAGTGATTATAAAAATTAATTTTTTAACCGTTAGAGTAAAAAGTGGGTTCTATTTGTGAGTGAAAAAGTAAAAAATGACGGTCTAAATAATGAAATAACGGTAAAAAAAATTAATTTTTTGGGATGAAAATTTGATACCAAACGGGGGCTAAAGCTTGTTTGTTAAAAAAAACTTTTAAATTATTTTGTCGCGAAATCATTTGCAACCACACATCCTAAATTCATAACTTTTTTCACTTTTATAATTTTTTCAGGAATTTTTTTTCCTAAGAAAACTTATCCGAAACAAGCTCTAAATTGAGTGTTCTAATAGGTCTAATGAAGACGAAATGTCACATCCTATTACATGATTTATGGAACGATATCTTATTAAGTTCCTGTTTAATATGGATTAAAATAATTTATTTAATAGATTTTGATAAAAGTTAATAAATTATATGATTGAAAATTTATGAATTTAAGAAAATATACGGTTCAAATTAATTGTTTACTTTAAATTAAATAAAAATAAAAATTTTAATCTTTATCAAATATGGACTAATATGAAGAACGAAATCAAAGGTGATTGTTTTTAAGTAAAAACTTTAACAAAATTTATTTTGTTAAAAAGTAATTGAGAGGTTTTTTTCTTTTCTTTTCTTTTTTGGTGCTTGTTGGATAGGACTTTGGATGACGAATTACACCCAACAATTGACATTCCGTTTGATTGTAAAGATAGAATTAAATTGAATTGAAAACGAATTTCAGGGAATTGAATTACCTAAAATTTGTTTTCCTAGAAATTGTAAATTATTGTGTTTGATTGATATAATTATCCACGTGAAAAATATTGAAATAAAAATTATTTTTTGATGTTCGTTTGACTTTGTTTTATATGAAAATTGTCAATTAAAGGGATAGAATTTACTAGTGTGTGTGTGTGTGTGTGTGTATATATATATCCAAAAAACCAAGAGAATTCCGAAGTTCAAGAAAAGCAAGAACTTAAATTCCATGGAAAAAATAAACATATCAAACATCTTAAAGTTAAAAATGTTGTTCAAATACTATTTTCCATGGAAAATGTAACCATATCAAACATACCCATTAACGAGAGCCAAACTATTCACCTAATAGAAGGAAGTAAAGGGTCGACTTGGTAAAGATTGACTATATGCTAAAACAAGTTAATCATAATTATTTCTTCAAATAATGTTGGAATTACTCATTTATGAGCAACCCTTGAGTACATATGGAACTTAACTGACTAAATCTCCTTCAAAGAAGTTAGTAGGACCAATATGGCTCACATATGTATAAATTAGGGTCTATTTGATTACAAAAATGAAATTTGGGTAAAAAAAAAAAAAGGAATTCCAGGGAATTGAATTGTTTAGAACTTGTTTTTACTAGGAATTGTCAATTAAATTTGTTTGATTGATATAATTTTTCATCTGAAAAATGTTAAAATTTTGGATATTTTGGTGCTCGTTTGGCTTTATTTTTTTATGAAAATTGTCAAATAAATGGATAATTTTTTTACAATTGTAGATAAACTTTGTTTCCATTATTAAAAAAATTACAAAAAAATAAAATATATAAATAATAAAGGTGGAAAACCCATTTTCTCACCATTTTCCACCAATTTAAGGAAAAGAAGGTCACGTGATGGGGGAGGGGGAAAATAAATTCCATTGAAAATTTATGCTATCAAACAAGCAAAAAGTTGGAATATGCAAAAAAATTTCCATTTTCCATGAAAAATCTTTCATATCAAACATGGCACTTAGTACATATTGATAGATGCTTTGAAATTGTGACTAAAACTCGAACGTGTAAAAGTGGGAACTATATTAATTGGTTCCACGCATCTACCAAACAATTATTGTAAAAATACTAACTTTTTCAATTTACAACAAAGGATGTGATCTAATACTTTACGGAATAATGTTACTTCCTTCGTCCGATTTATATAGGTTATATTTCCTTATTTTCTTGTCCTAATTTTAAAGTCTTGTTTCTTTATTAAGAATATTTTGTGTTGTTCTTTAAAAATATACTCTAATTTAATTTGCTTAATTATAATCAATTTTTCTTACTTAAACTTGAAATTGTACAAATATAAATAAGGGTAAAATTGGAAAGTTTTGATAAAAATTGCTTTTTCTATAACATTAAATAAGATTTATTAATTTGTATGAAAAACAAAACAAGCGTATATAAATGCGACGGAATGAATATTTAACATCAATGATAAATGCCAATTTAATTGTCCACATATCATAGTTTCCATTAAATGATTTATAAATTCTTATATCTATTTGAACCTATAATTTAATGTCATAAATGCTACAACCTAGATTGATATTAAATATCACTAATATTTTAAAAAAAAAGTACTCATTAAAAGGATATTGTATTGAAATAGACACAATTACGTGTTACAAACTTACAAATCTAGATATTGTTATAGATACATTGGCAGGTAAACAATTTTATTAACTTGTCCATTAGGTAATGAATAGATTTTAGTGCAAAGTAGATGAGATAGACAAGTAGTCTTCTATGAAGCTTTATAGGGTACTTAGACATCCATTTTGAATGAAAAATGAATTTTAAAATAGTAAATTGATGGAGAATGTGTGGATGAAATTTTTTTTTATTTATGTATAATATTATTTTAATAAAAAATGTGTGGTTGAAAAGAAGAGAGAGAAAAATGCATTTAAAAAAAATGGAAATCAAACAGGGTTTAAAAATAAATAGGAGAGAAGAGATTATAATTTAGCCATTGTTTGAGCTCCATTCTTCTAAAAAATCATTTTTTCTAAACTCATTTTCAACCACATATTTTTAATAAAATAATATTATAATCAAATTCAAAACGTTTTCTTAAATTTTAACTACACATTCCCCATTAGTCTACTATTCAAAATACATTTCCCCCTAAAATGAAGCTCAAACAGGTGCTTAAATGTGAACATAATTTTAATTACATAAGTTGATGTTTGGTAGAAATGTTTTGAGAATAAATTTTGTGCAAAGTGATTTTTTTTAAAGAATGTATAGTTAAAAAGTAATTTATTTATTTATTATTATTATTATTATTATTATTATTATTATTTTTGCATTTTTACATGTAAATTATTTTAATGGAAGACTTTATGGTTGAAAATGAGGAGAAAATAAATTTTCTAAAATTGGGGTCAAACAAGGGTTTAGTTAATTAATGGCCCAAATAATCATCAGCCAAACGCGTCCTAACAAATACCCTTGAGCTAACATCCGGGCTCGTTTTAGCGACGATTTGTAGTTCAATCTTCACCTTCCTAGTCAAGTCCAATATTATAGTAAGATATTCAAGCTCATAGTCCACTCCGTATTGAGAAAGAAATTCAGAAAAAATGGTGCCGAATTAATATTTGATTGTGAAGCTCTCGATGCATTGAGGTAAGACCCACAAATCTATAGATACGGATCTTTGTAGTCATTGCTTAGCTCGGCTTCGCTTCATTTATGCCAGATCTGTGAAATCCAATTGTTGTTTCCTGATTTCTCTCACTTTTTATACAGCATTTTTATCAATTTCAAGCACTGGAACTTTCATTCTGAAGCCTATTTTGCTGATTTATTATATTGTATATTCTCCAGGTGTTCTTTTCTTGACTGAAAATTTTAGTATTTCTAGTCGATTTTGGGGATTATAAGGTTTAGAGAAATGTTGGGTCGATCTTCGATTTTTCTATCTCGAAATGGAACTTTTAGGCCTGAACAACTGGGTCAAAATGCACTAGCAATGATAGGGAATCTCTGTTTCACATTCTTTGTTATTGGGGTTTTGATCTTCACCATAATTGCTGCGACTTACGAGCCTGAAGACCCATTGTTTCACCCTTCAACAAAAATTACGACATTCCTCACTTCCAATTCTAATGCCACCTTTAAATCTGACGACTCTGTAGTCAAGACTGGTGAGGATTTTGTGGCATCGAATCAGACTGCTTTTGCAACCTTTATTAATATCACCGATGTGGATAATGCAATTGTGGGAGCTGAAACTGAGGAGTCAAGTGTTGCTGCGACCCAAGATTGTAGTGGGAAAGTTGATGAACCCATTAATTGTCGGGATCCAGAAGTGTTCCATTTGTTAATGAAAGCCGCTATGGAGAAGTTCAAGGACATGCACTTTTACCGGTTTGGAAAGCCTGTTACTGGGAAAAATGATAGTTCTTGTCATATGGCTTGGAGGTTTAGGCCAAAGGAGGGGAAGGCCGCTGCATTTTATAAAGATTATAGAAGTTTTTCAATAGTGAGATCTGAAAATTGTACACTTAGTGTGGTCGGCATTGGGGATTATCATTCAGGTGGGAATGCCAGGAAGAGAAAGGGGAAGGGGAAGGACAAGGACAAGGACAAGGAAGGATTTGAGAAGGTGCCGGCTAAGATGGAGAGCAATCCTATTGCACTGCCAGAAGTTGGAGAAACTGTGAATGATGCACTTCCGGTGGTGGAATCAGAGGGCAGTTTCAGTCAGGGAAAATATTTGATTTATTCTGGCGGTGGGGATAGGTGCAAGAGCATGCATCAGTATTTGTGGAGTTTCATGTGTATGTTGGGTGAAGCACAGTATTTAAACCGAACTTTGGTTATGGATCTGAATATCTGCTTGTCTAAAATCTACACTTCATCTGGTAGTGATGAGGAAGGTAAAGATTTCAGGTTTTACTTTGACTTTGAGCACTTGAAGGATTCAGCTCCAGTTCTGGATCAAACTCAATTCTGGTCAGACTGGAGCCAGTGGCAACAGAAAGATGGATTGAGTCTCCATCTTGTAGAGGATTTTAGGGTAACACCAATGAGGCTAGCTGGGGTGAAGGATACTTTGATTATGAGGAAATTTGGCTCTGTGGAGCCTGATAATTACTGGTACAGAGTGTGTGAAGGTGAGACTGAATCTGTTATTCAACGGCCATGGCACATGATATGGAAATCCAGGCGGTTGTTAGATGTGGCTTCTGCAATTGCATCGAGAATGAATTGGGATTTTGATGCCGTTCATGTTGAGAGAGGGGACAAGGCAAGGAACAAGGAGCTATGGCCTAACCTTGACAGAGATACTTCACCAGAAGCTCTTCTGGAGACTTTGCAAGACAAAATTGAAGATGGGAGGAACCTGTATGTTGCAACAAATGAGCCAGACACGTCCTTCTTTGACCCTTTGAAGGATAAATACTCTACCCATTTTCTTGATGAATATAAAGATCTTTGGGATCAGAACAGCGACTGGTATGCAGATATGACAAAACTCAATAATGGAAATTCAGTTGAATTTGATGGTTACATGAGGATCTCTGTCGATACAGAAGTGTTCTTGAGGGGTAAAAAGCAGATTGAGACTTTTAATGATCTCACTAAAGATTGCAAGGATGGTGTTAATACGTGCACGTCTACCAGCTAACCCATACATGAGGTTTGAAAATTCTTTTATGCTAAACTGGGAAATGCCGTCCACTTTCATATCGTGTCTTTGTTTCTTTTCAAAATGTTGTGGTTGTCATCAATGGCTGATTTACTTTACGAGTTCTCTCGAATCTTGTACTTTAAAGGTAAAATTGCCTATTTGTTTAATTAGTTAGTATCCTCTGAACTGAATTACTTTTGCTTGTTGGGTTTAAATTATTGTTTCTTTGTATCCACTGTTTACTTCTAATTCCAAATAATCTTTGTTAGAAAGGAATTTTTCTCCCCAAGTAACAAGTTCATTGCACTAGATACACTAGTGTCTTTTTTTTTTTTTACTATTAAATTCTCTCCTTGAATTAATATTTTATGATGCTACAGTTTGAGGTAAATAATCTTTCATTACTTGAAGTCACTTAGCTGCATCTGATGCGAGGATTGTGCAACATATTGATACAGTGGGATAGGCTCCATTTGTCAAGAATACCTTCGTCATTTTATTCTGTTTTGAACTTTTTCTGTCTAAAAATTAAAAGCACAAGTCTCTTTTTGGAACTTTTAGCATATGAAAGTAGCTGACGTCGGAACTCTCTAAGAAATTCCTAGTCAATATACGTCATGTGAAACTCTTGTGAATCTGCAACGCCACCATCAAAGTGGTTGTCAATTCAACTTCGACCACCAAGTTAGAAGGTTAAATGAAAGTTCAGTGACTAAATATTGTGGTGGGTGCTGTACTGCTGACCTTATTATTGTTTGATCAGGAGCTTTTCCTTCTTCTGGATTCTGATTAGTGGGCCACCGTCTTATGCACTTTTGACTGTTATTGTTTTCATTGCTGGTAAAGCTTTGGCAAGGTTAGTATCTGAGTTGCGATTAGGCAAAATATGGGTGAATCGCCTTAGGTTGGACATTTTGGGTGTTTTATGGATGTTTGTGTGCCTTTGTTTGAGTTAACCACTTCTATATTTTAGTGAATATTTCGAGCATTCTTAACCTTCCAGTGTTTTGTCCCTGTTTGATTTAGCTAAAAATCAGATTTTTATTTGATTTTAATAGAAATTGATGAAATATGTGCATCAAAAGCTGATAATAAGTTGTAGGTCAATGAATTTTGTGATTAAAAATGAGTTTGAGGAAAAATGAGTTTTAGAAAATTAAGGTCAAACTGGACTTATCCGTCTGTATCTATCAACATCAGCATGGAAACAAAGGAAAAGATTTTATTGACGGGACATGGAAACAGAATAAAAAACAGAGAGGAAGACATTTAATCTGTGGTAGATAGTTTGGCAACGAGTATCCTTGGCAAGGAAACTAGATTAACATGAATAGAATCTATTTCTCTTCTCTAGTTACGTATTCACAATGTTTATTCTCTAGTTGTCAATTAATAGAGTTATGGGAATTCGACTTGTGTTTTTCTAATGGCCCATTGAAGAAT